GGTATTATCAACAGTATTAAATAAAAATATTATCAACAGTATTAAATAAAGATATTATCAACAGTATTAAATAGATATATTATCAACAGTATTAAATAAAGATATTATCAACAGTATTAAATAAAGATATTATCAACAATATTAGATAAATAGATTATCAATAGTATTAAATCAAACAATTATCAACAGTACTAAATAAAGATATTATCAACATTATTAAATAAATATATTTCAACATTATTAAGTAAATATATTATCAACAGTATTAAATAAAGATATATCAACATTATTAAATTAAGATATTATAAACATTATTAAGTAAAGATATATCAACATTATTAAATAAAGATATTATCAACATTATTAAATAGATATATATCAACATTATTAAATTAAGATATTATAAACATTATTAAATTAAGATATTATCAACATTATTAAATAAAGATATTATCAACATTATTAAATAGATATATATCAACATTATTAAATTAAGATATTATAAACATTATTAAATTAAGATATTATCAACATTATTAAATTAAGATATTATCAACATTATTAAATTAAGATATTATCAACATTATGGTAGTGTCTAAACAACAACTATTTTAATATGATAGTGTCTAAACATCAATATTTTAATGTAATAGTGTCTAAATAACAATATTTTGATATCGTAGTGTTTAGAGTCGTGGGTTTTAAACAACAGTACTTCAACATCGTAGTTTTCTAAAGCAACAATATTTCAATATTGTAGTGTTTATACTCGTGGGGTCTGAACAACAGTACTTCAACATCGTAGTTTTCTAAAACAACAATATTGTAGTGTTTAGAGTCGTGGGGTCTGAACAACAGTACTTCAACATCGTAGTTTTCTAAAACAACATTTCAATATTGTAGTGTTTAGAATCGTAGGGTCTGAACAACAGTACTTCAACATCGTAGTTTTCTAAAACAACAGAATTTCAATATCGTAATGTCTGTTTTAAACAACAGTATTTCAATATTATAGTGTTGAGAATCCTTGATATCTTAACAACAGAATTTCTGTATCGTAGTGCTCCGAGTCTTAGTACCTAAGCAACACAAGAAGTGATGTCTAAACTGCAGTATTTCAATATCGAAATATTGAGATCCTTGTTATCTAAACAACAGAATTTCAATAACGTAGTGTTCACGGATTTAATGTCCAAGCAACAATATTTCAATATTGCAATGTTGGAGGAGTCAATACAACAGTATTTAAATATAGTAGTGTTTAGTGTCGTTGTGTCTAAAGACAGTATTTCAATATCGTTGTAGTTCAGAGACGGGCAACATTTTGTTGTTGAGCCTAGTTTGTGGATAAAGCACAGACCTTTAGACGATTCGCTTGTTGAATAATATATATAATTCCAAGTGAGAGTGACAATATATATATATATAACACCGATACAAGCTGTAGAAACACTGATTTTAAGAAGTTGGTGACAAATTAAGTTATTTATGAGAAAAAACATGTTCCATTTTTAATATTGACCTAGCTACGACTGTCCACCTAATGTAAAAGATAACAACTGGGCCAACTATGTTTGTTTTCAGTAGATCCACAAGTCGTTATAGCAACAACTGGGCCAAATATGTTTCTTCTCAGTAGATCCACAAGTCGTTCTGGCAACAACTGGCTCAACTATGTTTGTTCTCAGTAGATCCACAAGTCGTTCTAGCAACAACTGGACCAACTATGTTTGTTTTCAGTGGATCCACAAGTCGTTCTAGCAACAACTGGGCCAACTATGTTTGTTTTCAGTAGATCCACAAGTCGTTATAGCAACAACTGGGCCAACTATGTTTCTTCTCAGTAGATCCACAAGTCGTTATAGCAACAACTAGACCAATTATGTTTCTTCTCAGTAGATCCACAAGTCGTTCTAGCAAAAAGTTTATCTCAAATACAAAAACAACTCACATCGTTTTGAATAAGCACAATGTTTTGGATAGTTAAGAACGAAAAGAAAACCGAGCTATAAACTATATTCATTGAGACTTGTTGAACTCAGGTCATCATAGGTGACGTAAAAGCTTTAGGTATTTAATTTGTTTATATGAATTTTTTATCTGTTTATGATTATGCTTTATAAAAATCAGTAGAGTATTTCAACTTGCTGTTTTTCAAAAGCTGTTTTTTTCGTTTCCATGGTAATTAATTCCAATTTAATTAGGAATATGCAATGTGATGAAGTAAAAACTATGATTATTGAAGTTATTATTATTCATCAGATGGGTACTCTCGCAGCTGGGAATATTTTTGGCTGAAATTTTAATAACATCTCACGAGATTAGCCTTAAGTCTGAGCTAAAAAATAAAATAATCATCATAATATATAATAAAAATGCATAATCAAAACAAATAACTATCGTTTAATACACGCAAAAACTAGTGTTTGCTTATTGTGCTATGTGTGGTGTCATGTAAGAATGTGATACTAGGATATGCAAAATGTAATAATCTTTCCTTAACAACGTATTTTATTCTATGAAATCTCATTTACATGGCTCCGACAGAGTAGTTTTTAGAATAGCCTGAGATCTAAGATAAATAATGACGACAGGTTTGTCTAGTTCCAATATATGTTAAACTGCAACTTGTGGTCTGAATTTATGTTATTTCTCATTGATGTGTTTGTTTGATTTGAATTTCGCGCAAAGCTACACGAGGGTTATCTGCGCTAGTCGTCCCTAATTTAGCAGTGTAAGACTAGAGGGAAAGCAGCTAGTCATCACCACCCACCGCCAACTTTTGGGCTACTCTTTTACGAACGAATAATGAAACTGACCGTCACATTATAACGCCCCCACGGCTGAATGGGCGAGCATGTTTGGTGTGACGGGGATTCGAACCCGCGACCCTCAGATTGCGAGTCGAGCGCCCTAACCACTTGGCCATGCCGGGGCCTTTCACACTGATATCCCATGAATTGGTTGGAAGATATTATATTTTTTCACATTGATATCCCATGAATTGGTTGGAAGATATGCATGTTCAAATGTATAAATGTCTTGTCAAGTAAAAAAATACATAATTTGTAACAATTCGATAGTGGCATTTGATGAGCAACATTATCACAAAAACATGTATTTACTAACGCCAAGCATCAATTTAAGAATTATTAAAACATCTCCACATTATCGATGAAGGGCTATTTTATACATTTATCAATACGAAAACTAGTGTAAAGATTATTAAAATCCAAATTTTAAATTATTTTTGTCTCAATATCTTTAATTTTCGCAAGTCACCTCAAGTTATTTTCAGGTAATTACTTGTATTTGGACCTAGTAATGTCAAGAATTTATAAAGTAACTACTTCCATCTGAACCTGGTAACATCAAACATTTTCAAGGTAACAATCTTTATCTGAATATAATCATCTCAAACATTATATAATAACTATTTTTATCTGGACTTGGTTACGTTAAACATTTTTAGGATAACTATTTTTATCTGGACTTGGTTATGTTAAACAATTTTAAGGTAATTAGGCTATCTGTTGTATCCACCGCAGAGAATCGAACCCCGAATTTTAGCATTGCAAGTCCATAGACCGTTGTCCTATCGATGGACTAAGGTAACTATTAATTTCATGAAGTCTTCTTAAATACACAAATTTACAAACTAACTCAAAAGTTCTTAGCTTTCAAGAATTATTTTTATTGAATTTTGTAAAACATCAACAACAACAACCAAACAAAGCCATTATTTTGATACAAATTGTCAATCAGTTGTCTGATTGTTTCTACGTAATAACAGTTATTCTCTTTATTACCCTCTACGAGACAGATGTTATTTTACAAAACCAAGCAATAACACCAACTTGTTAAAATGAGATCTTTCCATAAATACTTTTCTACTCTTAGCGATCAGATAGCATCTCTATTCAATTCAAAATATCCCACCAGTTCCACTTAACTCTCCATAACGCCATCTGTTAATTACATTTATTTATAGCGTATAAGAGCCAATGGAATAATTTTTTCATAGAAAACCAGTCTATTTACTAATTTACGTGACGTACTATTAGCCATACACGATGCGCTTTCAGACAACTTTCTGAACTCGAAATTGTAGAACGCTGAGCTTAGCATGGTAACTAGGGTTAGTCACTCATGGAAGTTGTAATAGTCTACTTTTGCTTGCGTGATAATTACCGAAACTGAATTTATAAGTTTATATTTACCTAAACAGGTTGACGGAAAGAACACTTGAATGTTTTGTGTCCATGCTAAAAAGTCTTAAAATGACCAAATGTTTGTTGATTTTTGTAACTGGTTATTCGACTGTTATATATCTTATATTGTGATAGACAAATAAATAAAAAAAAAATAATCGGAATAAAACAATCAAATAACTGAACATAAGGAAGAAATCAAGACCCAAATAAACAATAGGAAGAAACGTATTGAATGTATACTTATATTTATACATGTTGGGGCCACATTTATGAATTAACAACCGAACATTTTATTAATAAAGGTGCTCAGCTCGATAATATATATTATACGTGTCTGGGGCCACAATGATGAAATGACAAAATGAAATGTTATTAATATGGAACTCAGCACGCCAAAGTTTACATATGACTGAGGCCAATGTCTAAATAAAGTAGACGCAACACTCCCAAGCAAGAACATTGTAACATAAAACACACTTCTGTTTCGTTTTACAACAGAGAGTGAATACAGGAAGAATGCGTTGTTGATCTTTGACTCTCTGATTTTAATTGACAACGATGATTCAACGTTGTTGATTCTCGATTCTCTGATTTTAATTGACAACGATGATTCAACGTTGTTGGTTCTCGATTCTCTGATTTTAATTGATAACGAGGAGAAAACGTTGTTGGTTCTCAGCTCCCTGATTTTAATTGACAACAGCAAGGCAACGTTGTTAATTCTTGTCTTTCTGATTTTCACTGACAACGGCAAGACAACATTGTTAATTCTTGACTTCGATTTTGACAACGACGAGACAATGTCATTGATACTTCACTCACCGATTTTCATTGACAACGACGAGACAATGTCGTTAGTTCTTATTACTGAATTTGATTGGCAACGACGAGACCATTGTGAGCATAGAAAGAAAAGTATGGTAACAGATCAATAGTTTATCATTCTGTTTGTTTCTACGAGGAAAAAGTCTGAAAAATTTTTGTATTGTTTACAAGGGGTTTACTACAATACCTCGTAACAGTGTAATATCACAAATATCTAGTATCACAATAAGTCTGGTGTCTCGAGGAAATTAAACACCTGACCGCCTAAGAGTTTCACTGACATTTTAAAAAAGGCAATATTAGGGTAAGAAAATATTGCAAGCTGGTTGAAAAAAGCTTAATAGCTACCCAAAGGCTTGGACACTTTCGAATTATTGCTGTTATTTCACCTGGATCTCCAAATAAATAAAGAGATCATTCTTTGGAGCTGTTTAAGTCCCTGATACAGAGATCATTCTTTGGAGCTGTTTAAGTCCCTGATACAGAGATCATTCTTTGGAGCTGTTTAAGTCCCTGATACAGAGATCATTCTTTGGAGCTGTTTAAGTCCCTGATACAGAGATCATTCTTTGGAGCTGTTTAAGTCCCTGATACAGAGATCGCTCTTCGAAAGTGCTCAAGCATACATAATGCTCATATATAGCATCTTTTAAATGTAAGTAATCAAGATTGTTATCTACCATTATACACTGTATTGGGCTCTACAGGTGAGCTAACAGTTTAAATTTGGTATTTTCGAGCACAAGGTTTCCAAAGCGTGTCTAAAGCCTATCAAGTAACTTATTCCTTACGTTTGGGGTACTTTTTATCAAACAATTTAATTTTAGTTATACCCAATGAATCCTGTACTATTTGAAGGATACACTTTTGTCACATAGGTCAATAATAAGATTATGTTAGTTCTGCGTATGAAAAGAAAAATTATGTTTTTAATTATTATTATTATTCTTTGTATATTAATGTTCTCATCCTATCGAATGTATATAAAGCCTCTACCTTTAATGTAAGTTCAACTGTTTCGTTCGAATCATGATTTAGTCTCTATAGCGCTAGAATCTGTCTTCTCTTTAAAGTTTTTATCTTTTTTACCTAACTCTGGATCTTTGTCATCCAACATGTTATCTTTCGAAGCACGTCTACCATGTACTTCTGCTATTTCTGTCTTCGCTACTTCTGGTGCCAGGCTGTCCTGCAGAAGAGTTTGCATATCGATGCCCATAGTTGTTCCTATTCTAACCTTGGCCTTCTCAAAAGTAACTGATAATTTCTCTTGGACTACGGTAATGCACATTGAAGTAAGGGACAGGCCAAACACCAGATAGATGAAAGTAGCCATCATATAGATGGGATGTTCGGGAACGAAGTCGCCGAAACCGATAGTACTCATGGATATGAAGACAAAGTAGAAAGCTTCAAAAAAGCTCCAGTCCTCCCACAGCGTGAATATGCAAGCTCCGATCATGATGTAAATAACTAAAAGAATTAATCCCAATGAGATAGGCAATTTAAATTCATCATCAATCTCAAACGCTTCATCTTTTCCTGGACTCCCAGCGCTATCGCCATCTTTTTTACCATTCGCTGACGTAGTGAGGCTTGGAGAACTTTGGCCAGACTCCAGCTTCCTGTTATCAATTGACCTGGTGAATGTTGGAGAACTTTTTCCAGACTCCAGTTTCCTGTTATCAATTGACCTGGTGAATATGGGAGAACCCTTTACAGACTCTACAATGGGACTTCCAGGGATTGGTTCGTTGCCGGAATTGAAAGTAAATGTCATGTACTGTAAAGATGTAAAAAATAAATGTTATCTTCAGTATATCATTTAAAAAATTGCATCTTCAAAATTATTAATATTAAATGTGTTTTATGTCTTGATTTGTTCAAAACTGATTAAACACTAGTTGTTAAAGTGGTGCTGCAAGGTATCACTCCCACTTTGAAGGCATAACTCATAATTCAAGTGTACATTTACTTAGGTGTTTATGAAAAACTAATAACATAAAATATTCCCTAAGTGGTACAAATATATAGATAAAATATTGTGATGACTTAAATTAAAGACTACTTTGAAACTTCAGTATTTTTAATAAACTACGACAAAAGAAGAATACGTTTTTCCGTCATGTGTGCGGAAACATAACACCAAAGTGTGGCCAAATGTTGCTTAATTGTGTGATTTAAAAACCACGGCCTGACATATGTGTGCATAATAACAATGCATCTAACATATCTTATATTAGTGCTTGTTACATAAGTTGGGCCAAATAAATCAAAAATGGACTACAAAGAACATCTATCCTTTATTAAAAATGAATTTAAATGTATGTTAAGAAAATACATTGTTTTGTTTTTCTACTAACTTATTTGAATAGTTAGCACCCGATAAAATGTCGCTTGCAAGTATATTACGAACAGCTTAACCTAGTTTGAGAGGTTACTTCCTTTCACCTGCTGACCAGTTCTTTGATGTTGATAGTGAACGTTCTGACCATCGAATCTACTAGGATTGGCTTCAAGTTGAAATTGCTCTGATCAAGGAAACATCCAACTAGAACATTTCTCCAACATTTAACCTGACTACAGTGCCGGATTTCAGAGGGGGTGCAATCCATGCCATTGACCTGGAGGTCTCCAGCATCTGAACCCCAAAGAAGGGAGCCTCAATTGTGAATCGCCCTAGGAAAGGGGTCACCACTATTGCAGTATTGCTTGGGGTCCTCAAAGGGTCTAAATCTGGATTTGCCTGGCCATAGTGGATACCCTATTTTAATGTATTGGAACAACCACCAATGAAAACTGAACAAAACCTGTCTGAACTTATACGAAATGTTATTGGTGATAGACTGGAATCTCTTGAACTTCCATGAAAATATACTGAAACTAACGAAAACCTACTTCTTCATAACATTACTTGTGACTGACGGAAACCTGCCTGAACGTCCTCGTAGATCTACTAGAAACTAACAGAAATCTACTTACACAAAATATTATTAACGTTACTAATAATCTTTGGCAGCTGACCGAAACCTATCAGAGTTTCTATATAATGTTACTAATCATATTTGTTGACTGACCGAAACCTACCTAAACTTGTTCATAACGTCACTAATGACTATTAATGGCTGACCGAAACGTACCTGAACTTGTTCATAACGTCACTAATGACTGACCGAAACCTACCTGAACTTGTTCATAACGTCACTAATAATCTTTGGTGACTGACCGAAACCCACCTGAACTGGACGGTCTTTTTCTTTGCGGGGTCGCCTCCGTACCCTCCGACATTTTCCTGTGCGGTAAAACTGCTCGACGAAGCAATAGACAACTTTAATGGTCCTGGTAAAGAGTCTGCCAAAGTCCGCTAGAACCATCAGCATCAATGGAATCCCAATGAAAGCGTAGACTATAGTTGCAGCCCTGCCTGCGTTGGTGCTGGGATATATATTACCATAACCTGAAAAAAATAACTACGCGTAAACATGGCAGCTGAACCAAAATGACTTCACATCCTTCACAATATAGTTTAATTTTCATAAAAATAATCACAGTATAAAATAACAGCTGTTTAAGAAAAATAACACCTTTCGTATTTGTTTGATGGATACAATCAAAGTTCACAAGATAAAATTGTTGTTTTCCAATAGGCCTAACATTTTTGTTATTGATCTTAAAGTATTCTGGGCAATAATTTGTGGAAAATAAGAGACAAATCTAAAATGCAATTGTTGTAACCGCTTCTGTTTTGGGGCGGGTTTCCTTTTTGATTCCTTATGATAACGAACACATTTTATTTTTCAGACTACAAGTTCTAAATGACTAACGCTAGGCCTAGCTTCACAAATAAATAACATCTCAGTGAATATTCCACTTAACTGTTTAATTTTCTCATTGTTATAACACTCGGTCGGGAGGTTACTTAATCTAGTTAAAGCTGGTCCTTTAAATGGGCAACAAAATGAATAATTTCAAATTCACTTTCTCATCCATTTACTCTGGGAAATATTGGGCAAATACACAGAGAGATGTAGCTAGCTTGTTTTCTGAATTTGTCTGTTCAGTTTTTAGATGTTTTATCTTCTCATTTATGTCACTCTGTTTTGTTTCTGCGGCTCCTTTGATCTCGTTAATATTATCATTCCTTACTTCTTTAATATCGTTGCTATACTCCTTCTGTATATGTTTTTCAATTTTATTGCTATAATCCGTTTTTGTATTTCTTCGACTTTGATATTATGGTCCCGTTATACATTTTTTATGGTTTCTTCGATCAAATGGATCGTTTTGATCTTAATTGTTTTTTAAACCTCCTGTCTCGTCCTGAAATGCCTGTCTCTTGCTCCATATTTTCTGTCTATTTCTATTTGATCTATATATCCTTTGTTTCATCAATATCATTAATATTTCAACGGCCTGGCAATGCAAAGTGGTTAGGGCGCTCTACTCTGCGCGTTCGAATCCCTCGTCCCACCAAACATGATCGCCCTTTCATCGGTGGGGGTGTTATAATCACTACTTCCCATATTCATTCGTAAAATAGTAGCCCAAGAGCTGACTAACTGCCTTCCCTCTAGTATTTCGCTGCTAAATTAGGGATGGCTAGTGCAGATAGCCCTCGTGTAGCTTTACGCTCAATCAAAAAAAAAAAGAAAAAAAAATTCATTGTCCCTTTGAATATACATATTCATTTTGAAATCCAGCCAGGATTCAATTTTATTTTTACCAAAATAATCCCACCTTTCTAATTTTTCTCTATGTTGGGCTGGTTCTTTTGGATTGGTCAATAAATAAGGATGCAAAGTACAGTCCATTTAGTGATATTGTTGGGTACCTGGTCGTTTGTTAATTTCCGGTATAAATTATTTCCGAGAAACTTCAGCGATACAAGTCATTTCTTAATTAAAACTAGTTTATTCTTTCTTGATAAGACTTTGCAATACAAAGATTTTCCACAGTCACTTTAAAGTTAACTACTTTTATAAACACACGCTATAAATCACAGTGATTCACACACTTTACTTACGGTGCCTACTGTTCGCTTGACCCAATTATCTCTATCTTCAATCTATTTGCATATCTCTTCTATCTATCTGCCCAATCGATGGTTTTACTCAGCAGGCTTATACACTAAAAAAAGAGGACGCCTCGAACACACTAGAGTTGCTAGGAAAATTCATGATCCTTCTAAAAACTCCAGCGCGCATGCTCCTAGCGTTGCGTGACTTCCGCTGTCGTAACAATACTTATTTTACCACAACATCTACGATGGCCGAGCGATTGGCCTAACTTCAAAATAACGCTAGTCACTTAATAGCTTCTCCAGTATCTCTAGTACTTCGTTGAAACACTTACTTAAAATGTACAAACTAACCAAGTAACCAAGAAACTGACTAACACACTTTTTAACTCAGTAATAATTCAAACATCTAACTTAGTTCAAGTAATGATTGCTGACATTAGAATTTATGGTGAAAGATGTCAATCTTGAATGTTGTACATTTTAGACAAGAAATAATATTTTGTTAGTTATTTTCGTCCAACAAATATTAGAAAATAAACAATGTTATGTTGAGAATTTTCATCTAACAAATATTAAAAAATGAACAGCGTTATAGTAATATTTCTTTATACTAAATATAAAAAAATAAACAAATCATATCGATAATTTCAGCACATTAAACATTATGTCATAACTGGCTGGATTCGTAGTAATTTTCATTTGTTCTAGTCTCCACACGATTGTACTTGTCGACAGTTGGAATGTTTAGTCCTAGTAAGGATTAAACTGCACATTTATTTAGCACCAGAGAGAGGGATGATCCTCACGGCCAAGTTAGTTTTAATCAGGTAATAAATAAAGCTAAGAGAGTAATGACAAGATATTTGTAAGGAGACATAACGTAAGCGGGAAATTTACTAAAACAAAAACACATTGATAAAGAAGCCTATTTGAAAGCGCCAAACGAAATTGTGTTGAAAAAAAAGAGTGGGACAAATTTAACGTGACACATGTGCAACTGTAGTGTTGCTTCTAACCGCATGGAAGTCGAGTTCAATTATCAGCTTATTTTTTATCATTTTTTTGCTAGCCTTATTTCCTCACGAAAGTCAAAGGAATCACATTTTTTAGGCCTCAGCATCGCTCGAATATTTCAATACGCTCTCTATCGTGTTACGCTCGAGTTAATGTGGCGGAATATAATGACTGAATTGTTTGGGTTAAGAATAAGGTTACATCTTTCTAACTTATTCGTACGGGTTACCAATGGGTTTAGATAACTATACGTTTAAAATACGGTAAGAATAAGATCGCCTTCAAAGACAAATAACAATGTCTTGATTAAATTATCCACCATCTCCCAAGAAATGAAATTTTCATAAAAACCGAAATAAATGACATTTATTTTATTAACATGAGTCGACTAAGTTTAACAACATTTAATTTTATCAAAGAATATTTTATTATGCTTATAAAAAGTATTTATTTTGGATTTTAAGAGGTAAATAACATAATGTGCCTTAAAACAAATTGTAAATTATTTCTTTCTGATATTGATTCAAAACTTTGTATTTTCTTTCAGGAAAAATACCCGTGGTGGGCAGAGCACAGATAGCCCATTATGTAGCTTTGTGCTTAATTCAAAACAAAATTATATAGCAAGTCACGTATTGAATTTTGTGTTGTAACCTATTCCATTATCATATATAAACCATGTTTGTCATAGTTAAAGACAGTAATAACAACACATGATCAAAAATCGTGTCAAATTACATTAAGAAACAAAAATATAACGACAAAAGTTTAGTGCTTTCTACAGGTGGATCTCTCTTCTTCGTGGGGAAATGGCGTGCAAAACGAAGAAATGCGTTAAAAAACAGGAAGGCCATATCCTGATTGGCCTATTTTATCCTTCGTGGGTACAAAGAACAATTTAAGAGTTTTTATTTGTTGGAATTTTGGGCAAAGTTACTCGAGGGCTACCTGGACTATACCCGTACCTAATTTTGAAGTGATAGGCCAGAGGGAAGGCAGCTAATTATCAAACATCACCCACCGCGAATTCTTGGTCTAGTCATGTCAGACCGAATAATTGGGTCTTACCATCACTCTTATACCGCACCTACGGCCCTAAAGTGCGAATCGCGATGGTTTTTTTTTGGGTTTTTTTTTCGGCAATGGGACGCAAATCATGGAACTTTTGATCGGTCCCTTTGAAAACTGAAAACAGCATTAAGTAATCATAGAACAGATTACTACAAAAAAATTATCTGTTTCATTTTTATGAATTTTATTGTTTGCTCAATAGCAAACAGACATAAACATGAACTAGTATAAGGTTAAATGGTCAGCTTATAAAGTGGTTAAAACAGAGTACAATGTCAAAAAGTCAAAAATAAAATTATTTATAAAGAATATAGGGTTAGCAGTATAGTAAGGAAGTGTTTCTTAATATAGAAGGTGTTAAATAAGTAGGCCTGTAGAAGGTGTGAAATAAGTAGGTCTGTAGAAGGTGTGAAACAAGTAGGCCTGTTTGTTTCAAAGCAAAGCCACGTAGGATCATCTGCTCTGTCCACCACGAATAATCGAACCCCTGATTTTAGCTTTGTAAGTCCGTCAATTCATAGCTGTCCCACTAGGGGACAATATAACAACTATAAAATCAAAAGATAAGTCAGAAAAGAAGTGAAAGGTGGAAGGTCATTGACGGCATCATCAGGATAATTACCAGAAACCTTTCATCTCCCTCTCTCTCTAACTGCTTCAGATTGGAATTCAGTTGTTATACTTGAGAGAACCATGTAATAGATAGAACGACTGGGTGGATTAAAGTGTTAAACAAGAATGTCTTTTTGAGTGCTAGTAGAAGATTTATGTTTGTTGAAATGTTCTCTGAGTGTGTTGGATTTTTATAATAATTCAATTTTTGCAGAATATGACATAGGTGGCGTTTCGTGAAGTAGAAGAGATCTTTTTCTTGATTCTATTGTGGTTTCGGTTGTGTTTGTCAGCTGTCGGTAGTTTTCATGAACTTACAAGTCTGACAACTTATTTGAAGATCGGCAGCCATTCTTTGGGGGCGTGTGGTTAATTTTAGCATGAACCAGAATATCTTTTAGGATTTTTGTTCTTACGGAATTTGTTTTAAAAGGTCATTAAGTTGAAATAGATGTGTTTTTTGTTTGTTTTTCGAGCCAACATGAGACGTTCTTCGGTTTCGGATGGTACGTCATTACAATACGAAATCTGTTGGATAATTTAGGGTTATGGTAATTGAGTCTGTTTTCTCTTTAATTGTTTTTGGTTTATTCTTTTCCATCTGTCTGTCGATCTCTGAATTTTTATAGTCATTTCAAATCATGGTAATGTTTAGTAATTTACATCATTCTCTGGAATCTTTATAGCCACTTTATATCATGGTCTGTTTTAGTACTTTCCATCATTCTCTGAATCTTTATAGCCACATTATAT